TCGACATATCTAAAAGCGTGAGGCTTAAAACCTTAGAAGAGTCGATAGCTCGTAAAGCATCATCAACCACAGCCGCAAGTACTGTACTAAAATTTTTACGAAATCCTGATTGGTTAGAAGGTAGAACATTATTACAATTAAAGTGAATGATGAGCTGATTATAAATAACCCTTTCCGCAATTTTAAGGGGAACTGACAACAAACTAATAGGTCGTAAATCTGCATTTAATGCCCTTTGATTATATTAACTTAATTGTAAGTTTCTAAAAACGCTTGTGTTAGAATAATAAGAGAGCGTTAGGGTTAATCCACACTATAATATCGATCACGGTTCGTTCTCGGTCCGATCTCGGGTTGGTAAAGTTTAATCATGTTCATATTATATAATCTGACCGGAACTTGAATAGTAAAAAAAATTATCTATAGATGGACTAAATTTTTTTGTTCTCAAGACTGGAAAATTAACACAACACAATCTACAAATACGAAAATAGAACCCGAGATAGAACCATATTTGTGGTCTAAATTGGAGCCTTTGTTGTCCCCCGTCTATGGCTAGTACTAGAGATGTCGAAAAAGTATCAATTCGTTACATGAGTACTCGTTACTCGATTGGATCCGAAGTAACGAGTACTCGTTTGAAAAAGTATTCGTTACTTTTGCTTATTTGATTACTTCTTGGATATAGACAATATAGAGTACTTTATCTAATGGAATATGGGTACTTACTTATGCAATGCACACTTATTGACACTTACTCATATTATATCAACACGAAACCAGTACGTGTATTGTTACGTTGCATTAATTTTTTTTTGTTTTGTATACCATATTTGTATACCTACCGTATTAGAAAAAGTTTTTTCCTATAAAAGACTTTAAAACATGCATAAGACTGTGTATATAACACATAATCTAAAAAATAATATGTACTTTCTATTTTTCTTTATTTTAAAACTGATTGTTTATTTCCAAAATATTCGTATATTCGTAATCTGATCGTTGCATTATAATTATTTTTATTTTTTATCAAACAAATCTTAATATTTCAGATATTAACACTGCATTTCTTTTTTAAGAGAAATTGAGGTAAGGTTATATTCATAATATGATGCTGTTTGATATTTACTCGCCTATAACTTACAGTACTGTATATCAATTACGTAATTACTGATTACGATTCTATTTAGAATATTTTGAAGCCACTACTCATAGTAATCAAAGTAACGAATACAAAGTACCGATTACTTAAACGGAAAGTAATCGGTACTCATGATTACTCAAAAGTATTCATATTTGACATCTCTAGCTAGTACCAATTTAAAATGAAAATGTTAAGGACGTTCGATACACCTCTTACGGGGCGGGCGGTGCGGAGAGTATGCCTATGTTTATACACGGGAGTCTTGTTGCAGTACCAACCTTACATAAATTAATTTCAGCGAACTAAGTATGCTATTTAGAATGAAATTTATACAACACATATTAGCTTGCATATTTTTTTCGTGTTTAATACACGTCAGTTCACTTTTTATTTGAATAAAAGCGTCTACTTATTCATTACGAACTTGTAAAATTATGGATGAAATCTGGCAACATTGCCATGGCGTGGTGGTAAAAGTTGGGTCAACTGTCATTACTGTCAACTTTGCGCGAATTCCGTAAACATGAATGAACAACCAAGGTACAAAGGAAAAGTAATGACTGAAAAGTATAAAATGAGTGTAAAACAGAATGTGGATTGATGAGAAAAAAATAAAATGTGCAAACCGAGAATCCATATGATAACTATCAAGAAGTTCAATGTATGATAGTGAGACGTCGACTTGTCAAATTGAATATTATGACATAACAACTAAACTGTTCGTTTTGCAAAGAGATCCTTTCAATTTTTGTTTCAAATTGCTAGTATATTGCTTTAGATCACGAAAAATTTATTTAATATTAATTATTACTACATATATTTTCGACTGGAATAATTTTATAATCTATAATTGAGCTATTCAAATATAACGCATCAGTCGAAGCATTAAATACAGCGTACAGTGTTGCCATATTTCCTTTCATTGGATCAGATGTTTGTTCAAATTTATCAAAACGTTATCTATTCATTCCATTATCTCAATAATGACATTGTAAGTGCATATTTTTAGTGTTTTAAAATGTTTAGTAATATTTAATTCGTTAATTACAATTTTATTTTCCCGATCCTAACCATTTTTAAGAGCAATATTCACGTTTGATTAAAGTTTTTTCCCAACTCCCATAAGAGCCTGTGTAAAAGAGCATAATTTTTAAATTCATTTTTCAAAAAAACTACGTTGTCAATCGATCTGATATTTTTACACAAGTCAGTTTGCATATTTATTAACAGATTTCAATTGCTTTGAAAACATTCTTACCATTTTTCTTTTGGTATCGAACCTCCTTAAGAGGCACACCATATACCTATAATTCCAAAAGTACACAGAAAAAATATTATCTTGAATAAAGTATATTTTCTTATAGGTATGAGTATATGATACATGCTAAAATTTTAAATTCCTAAATTCTTTTCAATAGAACATAATTGAAAAAATCTTACATAGGGAAGTTTTATTATACGCAATTAAAAATTACGTTAATTAATTAAGCAACATTATTCTATTAAAGTACGTCTTAATTCGGTCAGAAATTGAAAAGGCATATTATTATAAAAAATTTGGTAAGTACTTATGACAATAGACAACAATTTTTTTTTACGCGGATGCAAAACTTGAATTGCCCGTCATTGCTATTTCCCAACTTGAAATGTATTAAGTAACAATGGGTGGGATAGATCTCCATCGAAATTTGAAAACTGCATCTTATACTAAGATATTTGTTTAAAAAATTGTGAACATATTTTTTTTAAAGAAAAAATTACGCCAAAATGATTACAACACAGTCAATATTTGATTGTCAAAGCAGAAATTTTTGTACAGGGTCATTTTGTATATTTCGCCTAAAAATTATTTTCAATACACTTCAAATTTCCTAAGGTTTTGCTGAAAGTATAGGTAGGTATACTGTTGACTGGCATTCGATTGATATTTATGAGAAGAGTTCATGTAAAAATATTCACCTTGTATGCAATTTTGTTTTAATGTGACTAGGAATTTTAAAATGAGACAAATGGTTAACGAAAGTGTAGTTCACTTTTTTGTTATATTTCTTCGTCACATTTTTTATAAATATTAAATTTTGACTAAACCTGAAAATTCGGCATAAAATAATACATTTATTTTAGGCAAAAAACACATTTAATTGCAATTTGTTTTTGTTTCAGTCACTGTCATATTTGTCTAAAGAAAACTACTTTTTTTGGTTCCTAAATTCGTCTTATTTTGTGTAGTTTTTGTCTTGTCTTCTGAATTAATATTGTCGTCTGAATTCGTCTTGTCTTTCGTCACCTGACTTTCGTCATCTGAATTCGTCTTGTCTTTCGTCTTGTCGTCTGAATTCGTTTGTTTTATGTAATTTTGTTTTTGTATTGTTTTTTGTTTTTGTATTGTTTTCTTTGTTCTATTTTGTTTTGTTTTGTTTTTTGTTTTGTTTTTTGTTTTTTGTTTTTTGTTTTCTGTTTTTTGTTTTTTGTTTTTGTTTTTGTTTTCTGTTTTTTGTTTTATTTTTTGTTTTGCTTTTCGTTTTGTTGTTTTGTTTTTTGTTTCGTTTTAGTTTTTGTTTTGTGTAGTTTTGTTTTTTAATTTTGTTTTACATACTTACAAATTTATTTCGTAAATTCATAAACGTATGAGAAAATTTTTAAAAAACATGGCACATTTATTTAATTCTATTAGTTGTCTTATTGTGCATCCAATTTAAAAAAAGTAAATTTCACTGCCCAATTGTCTACTTTTTAAATTATTAGTTACATACATTTAAAAATATCACATACAGCATGCACTTTTTCATATGAACTCCCCTAATTAAATTTTTTAAGAGAGAATCCGCAATTTCTGAATGTTTGAGTCTGTGTTAGTCGAATGCCATTCCACTGTAGAATTTCGCCAAAAAATTGAAAATTTGAACAAACCGTTCAGATATTGCAACAAAAAGAATTTCTGGTCTAAATCTACAAATGATATACGAGTATTAGTAAAGGAGAGGACTCTCTTTAATGGTCATTTGGTATTTCCCTTTATGAACTCTGTTGTACAGTACTAGTATGTAAAATTGCTCGTGAGATACTAGGTATATCATATTTTTTTTATTACCAAGTGTCCGTCTTAAGTGGCACACTCTGTATGTACACAAACAAATTTGGAATTCTAGACATACTACATACCTATTAGGGATTTGTGTATAAAAACGTTATTGTGGTGATTAGTTAATCTATGATGTATAATTAATTTTATTATAGTATTAAAATAATTTTATTCGGTGATAATGGCGGATGCGCCGGTTAAATATTCCGATGTAATGTGTACTTTGGCCTATATTAAATGAAAAATATATTCATATTTCTCATTTTGAATTTCATATAACATTAATGTATACGTGGTTTATTATGGAATTTTATTATTTCTAATAAAACCGTAAATACTAAAATATGTACCGTTGCGTACATTTTATGCAATATTTTAATACATTGTGCTTTTATAAATAGATATAAAATGAAGTATTTAAATATTGCAATATCGTTCGTATTACCGTTCACAATTGAAACCGCAATTCCAATCTTCTCAAGAAGAATAAATTGCAAGAACTTATCCGACCGAGACCGCGCTGTCAGCGTTAAAAACAAAATGTAGGTGAACCGCTTGGTCCGCACACCGTACAGCACAATTTCACCACAAGATTATTTATTTATAGTTATCAACATGTCTATAATTATACACCTTCTGATTTCAATACCAACAATAGGTAGCAACAATTTTTGTAGTTTGTCGTAACCTTTCGAGAGCGGTCGTGACATTTCGCAGTTAGCTCCCGGATTCAAGATCCAGTGCATTCATAGTACGCCGTGAACGCGGGATATCTAGAGGCCTTTGAAAACGACGATTCGCGCCTGTAAAACAAGTGAACTCGAATAACGTGGTCAAAGAGTGAGTGCGTGTTTGTGATGTTTCGCCGACCTACCTACTACAATTAGATTACCGAAAGGATTACTTCTACTTGGCTTGGTGAACCCGTTAAGGTGGATTTGTCTGTTGTTTTATTATGCTTTAGATTTTGTCGCACCACTGTTGTAAACAAACTGGCTGACGTTTACTTATGTAAATTGCCATGTGTATAATCGATTTCCAATTTCATGTCTGCGTTATCTATGACATAAGAAAAATCAGCCGTAGCCGCTTTTAGTTGGAAAGTGAAAAATAATAAAACATGTTTCCCTATTAAGACAAATTCTATATGTGAATGACTGTTTCTATACACGATCAAAAATGTAATGTTTGCGTTACTCTTTAGCGTACAATTTCAACTGCACGGTTATTTCAAAAGTATAAAGTAAGAGAAAATGCTGTAAAACTGTACAGAATTTATATGCAATGTACTGTGTCATAAAATGTGTTTTTTTAGATTAGATAGAAGATTATTTTAAGACACAATTAAAACAGCACCGTATTTTTATGATGTATTTACGTTTACAGGGAAAATCTATTATTACATAAATAAATTAAAATATGAATTCGTGCAAACTATTATTAGTCTAAATATTTCTAACTTTGCTCTTGTCAAAAGCGGTTATTTTCTGTAAACACTAAATCAATTAAATTTTTTTATTTCTACACCCAAAGAATCAGGTGTTGGTTCTAGAAAATTTATTTTTTTCCTACATTGAAGGTTTACAATAAACAAATTTAAAATTGGAAAACATTAGAAATCATACTTACTAATTTTTAAGTTGTTTTTTATACAATTTTATGTAGCAGTAGGTCAATTACAAAAAAAAATGTTTAAGAAATATCACAAGTACTTAGATACTTAAACTTTACATTGGTAGGCACCTGTAATACACATTTTTGTAATGATTTGCAAGTACAATCTTTTATAGAATTTATACAACCTCATGTGCTTTAATACATTTAAAGATTCAATTTTTATGTGCATAAAAATGCTTCAGGAAAGAAATAAAGTTTTATATGGTGCGGATACTACCTTACTTATATCTCTAGAAAATTCTGTTTTATTCCACTTAACTGCAATTTCTATGCGGTCACAACATTTGTTTGACTAACCGAGAAATATAGTGAAACCCACAGTTTATGTAAGATAGGTACAATTTAATATCTTTACGTAGTTTTAACATATAAACGGAGGCACAGAAAATTAAATAAAAAGTACATTTTTAGCAATATAATATTTAATTTCATAATTAATGCAAAACTTCGGCTTTCTTGGAATTTATTGATAGTTCTTGTTTTTAGGGAAAGGAAATATTTTATTTATTTTATCAATAAACAATGTCAGGCCGAACTTTTCAACACTCTGAAAAATTTATGAGGGGTTGCGACAAATGGAGTGTCCACCCTTGCCTTAAAAGATTCAATATAAAAATAAATACTAACAAATATGTGTAATGCTAGTAACCTTGATTTTAAGTATTTGTAGTCAATAGTGGGAAATATAAGGTCGAATTTCAAAGAAAATAAAATATTTTTTTCTACAAACGTCAAAAAATGACAAGGTTTGCGCATTGACAACAATATGCGAAGTGACACTTTTTTTCGGATTCTTACGTTACCATGACACAGTGCGCGAAATACCTACTTCGCGCACTAGGCTGCGAAGTATTTCGCACACTGCATGTAAATTAATAAGAGTTTTGTATTTCAATCTTTGAAAAAATGAAGCAAAACTCCAAATTATTATTTATTTTTAAATGAATAACAATTAAATACTTTTAAAATAATGATAGAATTTTACAATAACTTTAGTTATTATTTACAATATTAACATTAATCGTACAACCAGTACACGAACCAATATATATTCCTAAACCAGATAATTCAGGTTCAGCTCGGGATATTGGGGATTTGGGGGTTTGTTTGTAGAAAAAATATTGTTTGCATCTCGTGCGCGAACTACTTTGGTGGTCTCGAATAATTTTTTAACTCGGCTTCGCCTCGTTAAAAAATTCAATTCTCGATCACCAAAGTAGCATTTCGCGCACTAGATACAAAAATAACTATTACTTGACCTTTCATCATCATACCAATATGTCATAATTATGGTAAAAATACTGTGTTTTCATTGAAATATGCTGTCGTTATCATTCGTTTTTGACGGGTTATTCTAATAAATTATGAAATATATTTTATCCTGATCATTTCTAATCAGGCCCGGATCCAGAGGGGGTGGCGATGTGGCGATCGCCACCCCCAAAGCACAAAATTTTTTAAAGATCTTCAATTTCTCCAAACGACAACAGGCAGTTAGTCGATATTAATGCAAGTGGAAGGATTCATTAGTGTCAAGCTCCTCTGAAAGAAGTGCTTTGCGCCACCCCCAAAACCAGTCTCTGGATCCGGGCCTGTTTCTAATAGGTATATTATTCTGGAAAATATTATATAACTGAGTATAAGAAATAATAATTGCTTGAAACTACGAAACGTTTTCTATAGTATTCAGTTACTTAGTTGGCAGCGATGATAAAGCCCTCAATAGGCTACCAATTTTTACTAAATACCCTAAAATTATTTATTTGTGGCAACTTCTAGTTTCTCTCTTCTTTCATGGCAACAATGTTAATGTTTTAATTATTTTCTTTATAATTATACCTGCGTATAAATTAAAACAAATTTGAAATACTGGACAGTTACCTAATATTGCTTTTTACTAATCTCAAAGATACAATATCTATAAACAAAGGATATTCTTTATGATATTGTGATACATAGAGAACCTACTACAACAGTGCTTAAATTAACTCTAATTTCAAAGACGAAGCAGGATATAATAATGAATCAATAAACTACCCTAATTTCATTATCTACCTGAAGTGAAGTTACAAAATTTTCCTTCATCTACCGCAAAGTACTATAACGTTACATTAATTACATTTTGATTCACATCATCCCCTTTCCGACAAATTGGCGGTTTGTCAGTCTGTAGTATAACAGATCCCCTCATGTCTGGGTTTATAATGTGCTATAAGGTTTACATTATTCAACAGACTATACACTCACTAGAATTAACTTCATTTACAGAGAAGAAGTAACACCGGCACACAAAAAGATGTAGACTACTCATTTTGATGCCAATAATCGATAAAACACATTCTTAGTCAGAGTTTGCTCCTAATATTTGGGGTTGGCCATTAAGAGAATGTCAGGCACACAAAAAAGTTCAAACCCAAAGATCTCACATATCATTTCCGACGTACTTTGATGAGATGAAAACGATACCGTAGTCTGAATTTATACAAAATCATTTCTTCATCTTGCTCAGACTAACGAGGTTATGGTTAAACCTTGTTTCTAGAGTATCCTACACTTTTGTTTTCAAATGATTTGCGGAGAGGATATCACCCAGTGGAGGTAACAAATGGCATGTGATATTCAAACAGAACAAACAAAACTCTATATAATTCCCAACAACTCTAAGAAAAAAAAATATCATTTCCGCTCGCTAGTGTTGGTGAATGTGAAAAATATATGCTCAAATGATATTCGTTTATGAATAAAGCAACTTTCGTCTAAAACATCTAACAAAGTTTGCAGATCGCACTTACATTTTGAAAGTATGATATATTCAAATATTATGTAGGGCAAAATCAATTTTGGACTATAACTGAGTGATTTTTGGGTCCATTTTCCCACTAAATATGGATTTTATAAGATTTTATGAGACTGTCCGGTTGTGCATAAATTCTGACTACGGTATCGTTTTTAGCTGGTCAAAATACGTCGGAAATGATATGTCAGATCTTTGGGTTCTGACTTATGTGCGTGTACCTGATATTCTATTAATTAAAATGCCCAACCCTAAATATTAGAAGCCAAATTTTGACTAAGAATGTGTTTTATTGATTATTGACATCAAAATGAGTAGCACTACCGGAGTTTACATCTTGGCAATCGAGTTTTTTTTTGTGTACCGGTGTAATCTTTAAACCTAGGTATAAATTTTAAGATTTTTTATCGAATCAGTCGGTTTAATTTTATTATACATATGTACATACTATTTTTGCCTAACCAATAATTTCATGCTAAGAAAGCAGACAAATAAAAAATTCTAGTCACTATAACAATTATTATAATTCTCGTTTCGAAACATCAATATTTTTCGTATCTACAGGGTGTAAGAAGTATGACTGCCATAACTTCAGCATGAGATAAAGTAATCATAAATGAACAATGAAAAAGTTGTATATTATAGGGGTGTAAGATTAACAGTTTTCAAAATATAGCGAATATTAATATTGGGCGGTCTCATCACAACGTGACAACAGCGCTACACAGCTGATGCATACCACGTATGCACGCGGCAGACTTGTCGTATGGAAAAAATGTAAACAACTATTATTGTGAAACGTTTAGTAAATTTCAAGGCAATTGTTTTCCAATTTTTAAATAAATAAAATAAAATATATCGATTTTAGTACGAAGATAGTGTTGTGCTTAAATTTTAGCTCGAATTTTAGTAATTATGAATCTCTTAAAACGGGAACTTAACTTTGAATCAAATTATGATTTCGAAAAATATGTAATTAAGGTCCCAAAGATTTACGTCGGCCAAATAATCATACGTATTAAAAATCATTTAGGAAGTTCAAAAAAGTCATAAACATTATATTTTATGATATTCTATGCACGCAGTTATGTCAATATTCCTTAATTTTATTTATTTTAATGTATTTTATCGTCTGTTAAAATTAAGGCAGTCAATCTTCTGACACCCTGTATAATTGAAAAGTGTTACATAGTTTTATTTGCCCTTTTCTTTAGTGTGTCAAAGATAGTTTAACATAAATGAACGAATTAGTTTGGCGCAAGGATTTCTTTTATTCATTATTCCGCTGAAAACTAAATCTGTACCACATATGAATAACTTCAGACGGTGTTAAAAAATGTCCAGTGTGGAAGAATTTATGATACATGTCACTTACTGTTACTGCAGCTACACCAAAAGCAAAGATGTTAAAAAGTTCTATTGCTCGTAACCTAGATTACGCCTGTTATTTATTTTGTTCACCTAATTAA